TGAAAACGACAGCCTGCAATGATGAACCGAACTAGTTGCGAGCCACAAAAACCAGCACCAGTAAAGGCCGAATAAACCCTGTAACCTCGACGAAAAACGGGTCGCACGCGCACGCGCACGGCAACAAAACCGTTCCAAATCAACCCGAGATTACGATCCTACGACCAGCCGTCGAGCTCAAAAAAAAAACGGAAGTGTTAGGACGGAGCCTAAGCAACCCGTCCGATCACGCACGCCTCCGAGTCAGGCCACACGCACGCTCGCAACGCTCCAGACAGGCTGAACCTGATTGGATGATCACAGAACGTATCAGCCAATGTTTGTCCAATCGATCAATCGATATGTCAAGGGCACTATCTGATTGGTGCGTCACTGCGCCGTCCTCGTATGCACGATTAGTTCTATATTTTTTTGACATATCGATAACTTATCGAAGAAATCACGCTGACTGTGGTCTCAACCTGTGTTCTCTCTCCGTGTTGTCTTTGGGGGTTAAGCAGGAGTCGTTCCTGTCATTCGCACGCCTAGACCAAACACAACAAAAGCAACCTGTTTTCACCACCGGTTTGAGTTGAGTGAACCACTTAAGAGACACGAGAACCCGTCGTCAAATGCTTTCTACGATTGTTTCCCCTCGCTGATGACAATCGATGGAGAACAAGCAATTCTTTTCCATGATTCCTAATTAAAGTAAACAATAAACCCCGAAAGATCGGGATTCGAGTTCTGGCAGGGACACAAAAAGTACGCCATGCTGACGACAAGACGAGACAGCTGACCAGTGCTTTTTGTTGGTTATAACAAACATTTCTAAACAATAAACTAGCTGACTCAAACACTTCTACCTCTTAAGAGCATGCCTAGGACTCATTGAACACGACTGCTTGCTTTTCTTCTGTTGTTTCTTCTCGGTTTGAACCGCAGCACTGGCATTTTGTCCTCTCGAACTGTCAGAAACTTGCGGATTGTCATGGTCACTGTCCATTACACGATGGCCATAACGAGTGCTGTCTGATGATTTCATCGACAAACAAACAATCTATTCATATCGTGAAGTTTCGCTCCATATTTCATTGGGTTATTCGTCTGGCACCTTAAGAAAAAGATGTTTTAATGTTCCTTCGCACCTTAGAACTGCTCCTTTTACTTTCTTATGCTAACTGTTTTAATTGATTCTATTATATCAAAAGGACAACACAAATAGTTGTCTTCTGACGAAACACTTGCAGTCCTAATCGCGTTATTTTGGTTTCTTGGGGGCCAACCCGTCTGTCAATTTTTTTTGTGTGTTTTAGTTTCTATGCTTGGATTCTCACCACATTGTAACGTTCTTTCAGATGTGCAAATTATCACCTCGAAACAACGCTACACGGTTGCAGGAATGAATCGTCTTGTCTCTGGCACCTGTGATCTAGCTAAATATTTACCGTAGATAAAACTGACGATTAACGAAATTCTCCAAGCGTTTTCACTATCCCATTATTTTTCCCCTTAATGAGGCCAAAATGATGCTCGTGTTCGCTAATAAACTACTCCCGTAAGTATTAAAATAAAAATCGGTCCACCCAGGTCAGTGAGTCTATTCTTGATTTCTTCCTCCCAACGACACACACAGGTTCGACAATCCTGCGGCTCATGCCACTCCGCTTGTGCGTCGACTAACACATAGTTATCTTATCCCGGTGAATCTCCTCCTGCTTCTCTTCCCATCTGGTCTGTGTGCAGATTGGACTGTGGGCAGTCTGCGCTTAATCCAAGACTGGACTGATCCACGGAATGTGTGCACAGTGTTTGCCTTTGGTTGGCTTCTATTCATGACTTTTTGGGCACTGTTGCCGCATCTGTCTCCCCGCTATACACTTACGCTCGTTCTGGTAAGTCTTTTCCATGCATCTAGTCTGTCGCTAATCGAAAAACCTTTGCACTGAATCCGGTCTCATTCCCACACACACATTGTTGAATAATCTCCTCGGACATCAGGCCCTTGGCTTGATGGTATTTCCATTTCTTCCGGCTAGCAACCTATTCTTCCCGGTTGGTTTTGTGGTCGCTGAGCGCGTTCTATACACTCCTAGTCTGGGCTTCAGTTTACTGTTTGGTTTGGGTTATTCTCGCGGTGCTTCCGAAGCGGACGAAAAGCTGGCCAGACACGAAGTCAAATCGACCGATTCCATCGCGTAAGTTCACTTCTCGGTTGTCTTTCATTCTCAAGCGGTCGACTTATCGATTAAAGTCAGGGAATACTTAAACTTTGCCGTGCTTATTTGGCTTTACCTAAATTGCAATGACTTCACTACCTTATTTCATTCACGATACTTTTCCTTGCTGATTTTCTCTTCCTATCCCACAGATCCCGTCGAAAGATGATACGCATCATGGCATTCCTTGTTTTGCTCGCATTTGCCGTAAAAACCGTTCGGCGAAATTTTGACTGGTATGCAATGATTGTAGTTTTAAAAACCTGTCAATGTTACTTTTATTTTTATCCAGTGACAACTGGATGCTGTTGAAATCGCTGTTGTTGGTTTGACAAATGATATGCATTCAAATGACTGGAAACAAACACAGTAAAGCAGTGTTAGGAGTGAGTCAATTTCCATCTCCTGAAAGCGTGGTTAGCCAGTAAGCATTTTTCTTCGTCAGCTCAGGCCATGGGATAGACCTGAGAGAATTCACTCGAAGCTTGCAAGCTAAACGGACAGAATCCCGACTACGGATCACAATCACGTTGGTTACTGTCGATGCCTAAAGCACACGCTTCAGATGCTTAAAATCTGAATTTTCCTATTCCCATGGACAAACCTTTTAATAATTCAGTCAATGGCATGACCAGTGGTTGCTTGTTCTTGCTTTACTGAATTACCCGTTGCAACACGCCTAGGCTATTCAATGCTAGAATATAAGAACGATTTGTATGCTTGGAACGAAGCATCGCCCAGCCCTGGAGACACAGATCATGTAAGAGGCTGAATGTTCTTTTCATCAAATTATATAAACAAATGAATAATAATAAAAATAATAATAGTAATAAGCAGTAATCATAATCTTCCATTTTTATTGGGAATGCAATGGCATCGAACTGCGACTGATCAACAGCTGCCCGGAGCACAGACAAGAGTAGGCAACATGAGCGCCGGTTTTGACCTCCGAGCCAATGTGATGATGACCCTAACCATTTGATCACTGCCACCCAGCTGTAGTTCAAATGAAAAATATTCAATACACAAAAACAGTAAAATATACTGAAAAATTCAAATCAGATTAAATAAGTTGTGCTGTCCAAGTTACCTCATGATAAAAGCTATAGTTATCGTTAGCTAGCATACAGAAGACTCGGTTGGCATTTGCTAACTTGAGACATTTGTGTTGCCGTAGCGACATCCGGTTGTCTGTGAAGGGTCGAGTGTATGCTGCAGCAGTTCGACCAGCTCTACTATATGGACTAGAAACTCGGCCATTAAGAAAACAGGATGAAGATAGACCGTCGGTATTTGAACATTGCTGTCTACGCAGCATTGCACGAATCTGGTGGGGCAGCCGGACGAGCAATGCGGAGATTGGGCGCAGAGTTTTAGGCAAATGCAATCGCCCAATGTAACAAGTGGTCGACCTCCATAGATTATGTTGGTTGGGGCATGTTCAGTTCAGTTTAGTCTGTACAATCATTAACCATACACTATCATGCGCCGGTTTTGGTTACTGTCTTTCGGCTGCCCATTTGAATGAACGTGAGGAGAAATATAGGAGGAAGATAGGAAAGGTCGAAAGCAGAATCAAGGATTTCAGTGGACTAATGGTGCAGAGAAATTGACGAGATGCATAAACGTCAATGTTTACGACACAGCCATATCACTCAGCATCTCTAACCATCGGTTCCGATCATCCCGGAGTCTCCATCCAGGGAGCCTAACAGAACCTATGTGACCCAGACGCCTAGTTAGGGTTTTCATACCCTGATGCTAGGTCTTAGCTCGACCGCCCTGGGCTTTATTCCACCAACTACTCACCTCGGCAAACATCGGTTGCCGTGGCAACCTATTTGGTGATATGCGTAACACATGCTCCACGCCTTAGTTTCGGAGTTAACAGAGTTTCTGGGCTCAGTGAGGGAGAGACAACAGGTTCCAACTGAATGGTGTGAATCGGTCATCATATCGATTTACAAGAAAGGTGACAGATCCTCTTGTAAAAGACCACAGAGGAATTAGTTTAATCAACGTCATCTCTAAACTTCTCGCTGGGATCATACTCCGTCGATTGTCTGCCGCACGTGAACGGTGCACGCGTGAGAACCAGGCTGGCTTTAGACCTGGTTGAGGTTGTATCGATCACATCTTCACTCTTCGCCAAACTCTGGAGCACCGGCATTCGTTTCGTAGACCCACCATCTCTGTCTTCGTGGATCTGAAAGCGGCTCTCGACCGCTCTGGCGCTGCCTTTCTCTGAAAGGTGTGTCTGAGAACTTTATTTCTGTATTCCAATCCCTTCATACAAATAGCCGAAACCGAGTCCGAGCTTATGGCACTCTTTCGCGCGAGTTCACCACGGAAAGTGGTGTTCGACAGGATTGCCCTCTCTCTCTCCTTTTTTATTTAACTTCGTGATAGGTTTAATTCTTGAAACAACCCTATCCTCGTGTGAGGATAGTGGCATCGATTCACTCCCAGGTGGCAGGCTATCTCATCTAGAACCTGTAGACGACATTGTGTTACAACGTGAAGAAGTTACAAGCTTTTTTTGGAAAGTTTGAGTGCCAACGTAGCTTTGTTAGGTATGCGTTTTGCACGTTCTAAGTGTAAAATGTTGCTAAAAGGTTGGGTTGGTCGAGCCCCGAACCTCACCCTTACTGGAAAAGTAGTCGAGGAAGTAAACAAATTTTGCTATCTGGGAAGCTATGTCTCACCTGCCGGACGCATCACGGATAAAGTGTCAGCGCGCATACAAAAGACTCGGTTGGCATTTGTCAACTTTAGACATCTATGGCACTGTCGCGACTTCCTTCTATCTGTATAGGTCCGAGTGTATGCTTCAGCAATTCGACCAGTGCTGCTCTGCATTGCAGAGACTTGGCCACAACGGAAACATAAAAATAGGTTGTCGGTGTTCGAACACCGCTGTTTACGTCGCATTGCACGACTCTGGTGGGGCAGCCGGGCGAACAATGCTTGGGTTAGGCGTGAAGTAATTGCGGTCTTCCACCGGAGCAAGTGGTCGACCTCCATAGATTATGTTGATTGGAGCATTTGTTACGCATGTCACCAAATAGTTTGCCACGGCGAGCGATGTTCGCCGAGGCAGGCAGCGGTTGGAAAAAGGTCAAGGGTGGTCAAACTAAGACCTTACGTCAGGGTATGAAAACCCTAACTAGGCGTCTGGGTCACATAGGTTCTGTTAGGCTCCCTGGCTGGGGACCCTGATACCTGTCACCGGCGGTTTGAAGACACTGAGTGATATGACTGGATGTCGCAAATAGTGGTGCTCATGCATCTACTCTTTATTCTTTTAACCTCAGTCTATATGAATCCCTTTTCTTCCGCTTGAATTTTCCTCAACATTCCGGTCTGCACTCTACTCTTCTATCCAACTTTGAGGCCAAAAGATTGCAACCAAAACCGGTGCTCGAAAGTGCATGGTTAATGGTTGTAAAAACTGAAACTGAAACCGAGGTGTCAAACGGTTACGTTGAATGGTTTTTACGCTTTATATGCATGCGTATTTCTGCCTAGAAATTCGATTAGCGA